GGTGGCAACGATCTCTCGGGCACAAAATAATCGTTCGAGGCAATCCATGTGTTCGGAGGCTGTCCTGACGCATCGAGTGGACCGCCTTGATCAATCCTCCAGCATTCCAGGAACATGCAGAAACACAGTAATGATGGCAACATGAGCACTAAAAGCATCTTAGGCGCATCGCGCAAAGCAAAACATGAGGCATGCAAGGCGGCTGGCTGGCTGCTGCCAGCACGCTCGCGAATAGGTGGCGTGAACAGATCACGATTTTAAAGCAGGCAGACTCGCATAAGTTCCAAGCACTGTCGCTCTCGTAGTCCATCGGCTGCATGATATGATGACTGCCAAGCATGGGTGTCCGTGCATCCGTCGAACACACACACACAATTTGTTATTTATCGCAATACTTGCCGGGTACTAAAGTTTTTGACCATCGGTGGAGAATTGCCTCGCTGGTGCCGCGTGCCGCCGACGACGGAGGAAACAGACATGCCCCGACGCGGGCCCCCCAACTTCCTCGAGCTCTCTGAGATCGGATGACCAACCAGTGAAGCAGGAGCAACCGCGTTGGATAAGGATGCCGAGCGCCACGCTGCATCAGAGTGACATCCGCCGAAGGCGCGTGATGACCCCACCTGGGGCCCGAAGGCCCAAGGAGGGGTCATCGCGCGCCCGTAGCGGATGTCTACTTGGAAAAAGAACGCAAAATTAAACATTCAAACCGATTCGAAAACGCGCGGGTGCGCTTTCTTTGGGGCGACGACTCACATCCTAAGAGAAATTTGACTCTGTCTGTGCGGAATGATTCCATTGCGAGCGGGTCCAAGTCGGAATGAATTCCCAGCCTATTTTTACTGGGACGGGGCGATTATCACACCGTTTTAAACATATACTATTCTATTCTTACGGGGTACGAGCCCATCCGCTTCGGACTGCTGCCCGACCGAAAACCTGTCGCTAAGATTATACGGGGGGATGGGGGGGGGTCGGAATGCTGACGTCTTACGGTCAAAACTATAATACCCCCGTGTATGCATGGCGAATCAGGTCACCAAATGTTTGCACAACCTATATTGTACAGCGCGTGATTCACAATAGATTTTGCTCCACACAGATTGCACCATATATATTCCACACCATATTTTGCTCGACAGAGATTGCGACACACATACGTTGCACCACTATTGCACCATTTGTTAAGAGATGTCTCGGTACGCGCGTCGCCCCTGGGGGGCGACGCACACATACACACCTTTGACACAATTCGATAAAGTTGCGATGTCGAAGATATATCCCATCCCTTTCATATACTGGTACCTGGTGCTTTTATCCCAATTACCCCAAAACTGGATCGGAAACTATTCCGCGCCACACCCTATATTGTATCGAGCGGGATATGCCCGCGCGCGGCGCAGTTGAAATACTCTCGCTCTGAACTGCTCCGCTTTACTGCGCTAGTGGCGAAAGCAGATTGGAAGACACTTTCGTCACGGTGATTGGGAACATCGCAACGCGTCCGGAATTTCATGGGTTCATCCGATCAATGCCCGGGTCACGTGGAACGCGATGGCGATGAGGACGATGATCATGACGGCGTTTTCTGATAAAGCCGGTCATGGCGATGCTGGCGATGGCAATAATTATGCACTGCGGCCGCTGGGACCGTTGGTGGGGTTCCCTATGGGGTCACGGAGCGTGTGTGAGGGGGGCCCAAACTGCGAGGCGGCGGCATGCGACCGCGGCCAGCGGGGCCTTCAGTGGAGCTCTCTATCTGGCCGCGTAATAAAGAAGGTGTGCCGAAATGGTGAGGTGGCGGCGACCGCAGCCACTGGGACCTTCGGTGGAGCTCCTTATGGGGCCACGAAGCATGCGAGGGGCGAGCCGACACGGCGAGGTGGCGGCGGCGTTGAGGAGGACGACGCACGCGCGCATCTACGCCTCTGTCGTCTGAGCCGTCATTTGGGCTCAGGGCTGCTTCCCCGACCATGTTTCAGGTCTGGCATGGGCCGACATGGGACCGCGGCCGACAAATAATTCTCGATTGATACTTGCCTGGACTTGCACGTGCATTGCGCATTGGGAACGCATCGCGGGAAAAGACACCCAAATTGCAAGAGAAATCGCAGCCCGTCCCGTGTTTCATGGGCTCATCCGATCAGTGCCCGGGCTACGCGGACGGCGATGGCGATGAAGGCGATGTTCACGACGGCGTTTTATGATAATGCTGGTCATGGCGATGCTGTCGATGACAATGAATATGCACCGAGGCCGCTGGGACCGTTGGTGGGGTTCCCTATGGGGTCGCGGAGCGTGTGTGAGGGGGGCCCAAACTGCGAGGCGGCGGCATGCGACCGCGGCCAGCGGGGCCTTCGGTTGGCTCCTCATGGGGCCGCGTAACAAAGAAAGTGCGCCGAAACGGCGAGGTGGCGGCATGCGACCGCAGCCACTGAGGCCTTCCGTAAAACTATTTATGGGGCCACGAAGCGTACAAGGGGTGTGCCGACACGGCGAAGTGGCGCAGCGTTGAAGCGGACGACGCGCGCGCATCTGCGCCTCTGTCGTCCCAGCCGCCATTTGGGCTCAGGGCTGCTTCCCCGACCATGTCCCAGGTCTGGCGTGGACCGACATGGGGCCGCGGACGACAATTAATTCTCGATTGCTACGCACTTGCCTGGACTTGCACGTGCACTGGAAATGCATCGCGGGAAAATCAGCAACATTGCATACAGCCGCGACCAAAGCTTCATCAAGTTGCTATGGCGAAGATATATATCATCCTTCGTCATATTCCTAACATCACATGATAGTGGCGTACCTTTGCGGAACAATTTCTGATCCGCCTGATGCTTTCAACACAAATGCCCCCAAACTGGATCGGAAACTATTCCGCGCCACACCCTGTAATGTATCGAGCGGGATGCGCCCGCGTGCGGAGTAGTTGAAGTACTCTCACTCCGAAGTACTCCGCCCTGCTGCGCTATTGGCGAAGGCGTATCGGATGAAACTTTCGCCACGGTGATGGAATATCAATACATCTGGTTGATGGCATTCATAGAAGGGGCTGGGACGAAGATTAATTCGTTCCAGAGCGTTCCGGAACGCTCCCACAGCGTTCTGAAACGCTCTGAGAAGGCCGCGGCGCCCGATGCATCCTCCAGAGCCGCCGGATCTCAGAGATTCTCGATGTGTCCTCACCCAAATTTTACCATCCCCCTGGCCTCGTCTTGAACCAAGAGCCGAACCCCCCTCCTCGCCCTTGATCCAAAGAGGTGGGAGGAGGAGGAGGAGGAGGAGGAGGAGGAGGAGGAGGAGGAGGAGGAGGAGAAGGAGGAGGAGGAGAAGGAGGAGGAGGAGGAGGAGGAGGAGGGGGAGGAGGAGGAGGAGGAGGAGGAGGAGGAGGAGGAGGAAGAGGAGGAGGAGGGGGAGGAGGGGAGGAGGAGGAGGAGGAGGAAGAGGAGGAGGAGGAGGAGGAGGAGGAGGAGGAGGAGGAAGGGGAGGAGGAGGAGGAGGAGGAGGAGGAGGAGGAGGAGGAGGAGGACGATGAGGAGGAGGAGGAGGAGGAGGAGGAGGAGGAGGAGGAGGAGGAGGAGGAGGGGGACCAGTGTAAACCCAAGAGCCGTCAACGATGTTGGAGTAAACCCTCCCTCCAAACTCCCTCTGGAATCGCGCCAGAAAACCATTCGCAGAACTTCAACACAAAGAATCAACGTAAATGTTACACCCGCAAAAACATCATTTCTGGTACGTTGATGATGAGAATCCGTGAAACCCTTGCAAATGTTTAAAAAGACTGTGCGCGGCGCTAAGGCGAGAGCCACATTTGAAAAGGAACCGCCCTCAATCCGTGAAGCTCTTGCAATTTGTTTAACGAATGTGCGCCGCGCTGAGGCGAGAGCCACATTTTGAAAACAACTCGCCCTCAATCAATGAACTTCTTGCAAGTTTTTTCAACGGATACGCGCCGCGCAAAGGAGAGAACCACATTGTGAAAACCATCCGCCCTCAACCCGTGAACATCTGGCAAGTTCTATATAAAAACACATGTGCGCCGCGCTCAAACGAGAGCCACATTGTGAAAAACACCCGCCCTCAATCCGTGACAATCTTGTTATTTTTCACAAGGAATGTGCGCCGCGCTAAGGCGAGAGCCACATTTTGAAAACCACACGCCCTCCATCGGTGACACTGTTGCCACTTTTTAAACTTCAGACTCATACATAGTGAGAAGTCTCAGGCGAAACGCCCGGCCCGCCCTAAAAACTGGCCCCGGGGTGCGACAGGGAGAAGATAACTATATATAAGGAAAGGGAAATGAGGAGGAGGAGGAGGAGGACGAGGCCAGGACGAGGCCAAGAGGCGATGAAACGCCGGTTTGGGAACTCACGCCGCCAGAGATCTGGGCTCGGCGCGCCCCCTTCCCTCGTGTGGCAAGGCTTGGGACTGCGCGCAGGCCACACCGCCGCAGGTGGCCACGGCGGGCCTCGGCGGGCCCCTGCGCGTGGTGCCACCGCGGTCCCCCTTCGTCTCTCCATGCTTCCTCTCCTCCTGCTTCTCACCTCCCCTCTGCCCTCTCTCCTGCTTCTCCTCTCTTCCCTCCTCCTCCACTCCACCTCCGCTCCTTCTCTCCTCTCTCCCCCCCCTCCACAGACCCCCCGAGTCGCCTGGGGCGGGCGGTCTCCACACCTCAGCCCTGGGCCGCGGCGCCGACGGAGGCGGCGCCAGGGCGATGAGACCCGCCCAGGCTCGGCGGCGACGAGGAAGGGCGAATCGCCCAGGGGCGGGCACTGCACGCATTGGCCCGGGAGCCTCGCCGAAGACATGGATCATCGGCGCCCCTGGATACACGTATTGCTCTCCCCTGGGCTATTCGCCCCGATCGTCGCCTCCGACAGACTACCCCGTGGAGGCCAGCCGGGTCTACTCGGGGGGCATCTTGGGGCCAGCTGGGACTACCTGAGGGGGCTGCCTCTGCGCAGCCCGAAGCCTTACCACTCTTGTGTGCCCCGGCGCACACTCTATCGTCTCGCCCTCGGCCATGTCTGGGTGCTGCACCGCTTGCCCGCCGACGATGACCTCCGCCTCCTGGCGGCGCGGGCGGGCGGGGGGACCAAACACAAACAGCTAGGCGACGCTACAGCCACCCAGATAGGCAACCACATATGAACTATACCCCTGCAAGTCAATTTTCTGGAAACCCGTTGGGTTTCGGAACTTGACGGATGTCTGCAGCCAGGTGAACCCCAGCGGGGGTGTCCCATACCCCAGCGTCGATTGAGCCCGCAGGGGTAGGGTTTGCAAGCGGTCTGAGACTACTGTCACCGTGCTACCACATGGAATGCCGAAGAAGGAACGAAGGGGCTTTTCTGGCCACGGCGAGCCTCGGCCTGAGGTCGGGAATTGTTGCTTAGCGCGACGCGGCGGCGGCGGCTCCGCCGACACACTATGCCCTGCGAGCTGATAGTGCGCCGCTCCGCTCCGAAGAACGGGAAGATGGGAAAGGCTCGGGACGTTGCCGCCTGGGGACCCAGAAGTGTTCAGCATGTCGAGCCGAAGCGTGGTGGGCCAAAACCAGCGGCGCGACATGCTTCGCAAACGTTCCCGACCGTACAATCATCGTGCTACCGCAAGGAACGCCGCGTAAGGAGCGAAACGGATTTCCTGGTCACGGCGAGCGTCGACCACACGAATAGGTGCCCCGACCGAGATCTAAGGAACGGCCTGAAAACCGGCGCCCGCCCCTCCTGAGCCCAAAGAGGTCCTCATCTCACCATCTTGAAAGTGGGCCACACTAGGTCATGTGGCGGATTCCAGAAACCCTGAACCCCAAAACGTTCTAATCTCTTGGGTGCGCATCTTTACTTCCGCCGCCTTCCGCCGGCCTTACGCTGGCTTCCGCCGGCGGAGGCGGCCTCGTTTTACTTCCGCCGCCCTCCGCCGACCTTCCGCCGCCTTCCGCGGCGGAAGAGACTGCCACTCCTCGCATCCTCCAAGGCGAGGCCCTTCTCGGAACGCCCCGTGCAACCTCGAGCGCCGCGCGCCGCGGTGTGCGACGCGCTGACCTCCCGGAGAGGGGCGGCCGCCCTGGCCCAGACCGCGGCGCGCGGAGCGCGATCCCCTCCGCGCCTCCGCGGGCGACCTGGGACTCGCCATCGCTCGGACGTCCATTTCCCGTGTTTTTGTTCGGTTTCGCGCGTGTTTTCTTGCTCGATGGTCCAGGATGTTCCTCGATGGTTCTCGCAGGGAAAAAATGCACACGTCCGAGCGATGCCAAGGGGAACACGTTGCCCTCCCAGCCCCCCCTGCCGGGCGGCGCGCCTGGGGGGGGGGGGGAGAGAGGCGGGCCTTCTCGGAGAGCTCGGAAGCTCCCCGGCCTTCCGAGAAGTGTTTTCGGAGCCCTCCCCGAAGGAGAAGGAAACAGAACTCCTCGGAAGGCCCGGGGGCTTCCGAGGAGCCCCCGACGCCTTCTGCGGGGGCCTTCTCCTTCTCACTTCTCCCCCTCGCTCGCCGCCCCCCTTCATCACGACGAAGTCGAGATGGTCAGCTTTCCCATAGCTTCTGGGCATCAGGAAGCGCGTTTCGGGCCCCGCCTCTCCCCTCATCAAAGACTGCCCGCGGGAGACATCACTGTCCTGGGAATCAGGTCCAGAGTTCTGCGAGCCCACGTCGTGAACAAACAATGCAACCTAGGCTGGCTTCCCGGCCCCCCCAAAACTAATAAGGATTTTGGCGGATTTTGGCCCTCGAAGACCCTGGAGTACGCGGCAACCCGCGGCAACCTCAACGGCATGGCTGTTGCGAGGCGTCTGCGCGGCAGCAGCGTCCAACGACGCGGATCGATCGCGGCCCTCGCGCGTAATCTGCGTTGCCCCAGCAAGGAGGCAGCGTGGCATATGCAGGGAAACAGCGCTCATACAGCATGGCAACAGCCAGGCGTCCGCATGGCAAGTGCATGGCCGTAGCTCGGCCACTGAACGACATACGTTAGGCAACCGCGTAGCAGTAGCACGGCAAACACACGGCAATCGGAAGGCGCTCGCACGGCAACACTACTGCAATCGCACGACAGTGGCATGGCAACTGCACGGCAACTGCATGGCAACACCGTGGCGACAACATGGCAACAGCATGGCAACGGCATGGCAAGCGCATGGCAACAGCATGGCAACAGCATGGCAACGGCATGGCAACAGCGTGGCAACTGCATGGCAACGGCATGGCAAGCGCATGGCAACAACATGGCAACAGCATGGCTTCAGCATGGCAACGGCACGGCCACGGCATGGCAAGCGCATGGCAAGCGCATGGCAACAGCATGGCAACAGCACGGCCTCGGCATGACAACGATATGGCAAGCGCATGGCAACAGCATGGCAACAGCATGGCAACAGCATGGCCACGGCATGGCAATAGCATGGCAACAGCACGGCCAGGGCATGGCAACGACATGGCAAGCCCATGGCAACTGCATGGCAACGGCATGGCAACGGCATGGGAATGGCGTGGCAAGCGCATGGCAACAACATGGCAACAGCATGGCAACATCATGGCAACAGCGTAGCAACAGCATGGCAACAGCAAGGCAACGGCATGGCAAGCGCGTGGCAACAGCATGGCAACAGCTTGGCAACGGCATGGCATCAGCGCGGCCACGGCATGGCAACGTCACGGCAATAGTATGGGAGCCCCATGGCAACAGCATGGCAACTGCATGGCAAATGCATGGCAACAGCGCGGCCACGGCATGGCAACGGCATGGCAAGCGCGTGGCAACAGCAGGGCAACAGCATGAAAACAGCATGGCAGAGGCATGGCAACCGCATGGCAACTGCATGGCAACGGCATGGCAACGACACGGCAACGGCATGGCTGCGGCATGGCAACAGCATGGCAATAGCACGGCCTCGGCATGGCAACGGCCTGGCAAGCGCATGGCAACAACATGGCAACACCATGACAACAGCATGGCAACAGCACGGCCACGGCAAGGCAACGGCATGGCAAGCGCATGGCAACGGCATGGCATCAACATGGCAACATCATGGCACCGGCATGGCAACAGCACGGCCACGGCATGGCAACGGCATGGCACGCGCATGGCAACACCATGGCAACAGCACGGCCACGGCATGGCAACGGCAAGGCAACTGCGTGCCATCTGCGTGGCAGTCGCATGGCACTAGCATGGCAGCTGCGTGGCAATCGCATAGCAATAGCATGGGAGCCCCATGGCAGCAGCATGGCAACAGCATGGCAACGGCATGGCAACAGCGTGGCAACTGCACGGCCACGGCATGGCAAGCGCATGGCAAGCGCATGGCAACAACATGGCAACAGCATGGCAACAGCACGGCCACGGCATGGCAACGGCATGACAAGCGCATGGCAACGGCATGGCAACAGCATGGCACCAGCATGGCAACAGCGCGGCCACGGCATGGCAACGGCACGGCAAGCGCATGACAACGGCATGGCAACAGCACGGCCACAGCATGGCAACAGCATGGCAGCAGCATGGGAACAGCGTGGCAGCAGCGAGGCCACCGCATGGCAACTGCATGGCATCAACATGGCCACAACATGGCAGCAGCATGGCACCGGCATGGCGGCAGCACGGCAACAGCATGACATCACGGCAACGGCATGGCAACAGCATGGTATCGGCATGGCGGCAGCGAGGCCGCCGCACGGCATCAACATGGCAATGACATGGCGACAGCATGGCAACAGCACGGCCACGGCATGGCAACGGCAAGGCGAGAGCATGGCAACAGCATGGCAGCAGCATGGCAAGAGCATGGCATCAGCATGAGAGTAGCATGGACGCAGCATGACAATGGCATGGCATCAGCATGGCAACAGCATGGCAGCAGCATGGCAACGGCATGGCAGCAGCACGGCAACAGCATGGCAGAGGCATGGCAACCGCATGGCAACAGCTCGGCCACGGCATGGCAGAGGCAGGGCAAGCGCATGGCAACAGCATGGCAACCGCATAGCAACAGCATGGCAACTGCACGGCCACGACATGGCAACATCATGACAAGCGCAAGGCGACAGCATTGCAACACCATGGCAACAGCATGGCAGCAGCATGGCAACTGCACGGCCACGGCATGGCAATGGCGTGGCAAGCGCAGAGCAACATCATGGCAACGGCATGGCAACAGCATGGCAACTGCATGGCAACGGCATGGCGAGCGCATGGCAACGGCATGACGACGGCAAGGCACGCGCATGGCAACAGCATGGCAACAGCATGGCAACGGCATGGCAAACGGCATGGCAACAGCATGGCGACAGCATGGCAACAGAACGGCCAGGGCATGGCAACGGCATGGCAAGCCCATGGCAACAGCATGGCAACAGCATGGCAACGGCATGGCAATAACGTGGCAACTGCATGGCAACGGCGTGGCAAGCGCATGGCAACAACACGGCAACGGCATGGCAACATCATGGCAACAGCATGGCAACAGCGTAGCAACAGCATGGCAACAGCATGGCAACGGCATGGCAAGCGCATGGCAACGGCATGGCAACAGCATGGCAATGGCATGGCAGCAGCGCGGCCACGGCATGGCAACGGCATGGCAAGCGCATGGCAACGGCATGGCAAGCGCATGGCAACTGCATGGCAATGGCATGGCAACTGCGCGCCCACGGCATGGCAACGGCATGGCAACAGCACTGCAACAGCATGGCAAAGGCATGGCAAACGCATGGCAACTGCATGGCAACGGCATGGCGAGCGCATGGCAACGGCATGGCAACGGCATGGCTGCGGCATGGCAACATAACGGCCTCGGCATGGCAACGGCCTGGCAAGCACATGGCAACAGCACGGCAACAGCATGGCAACAGCACGGCCACGGCATGGCAACGGCATGGCAAGCGCATGGCCACGGCATGGCAACGGCATGGCAAGCGCATGGCAACGGCATGGCAACGGCATGGCAACAGCATGGCAACGGCATGGCACGCGCATGGCAACAGCATGGCAACAGCATGGCAACACCACGGCCACGGCATGGCAACGGCACGGCAACTGCGTGCCATCTGCGTGGCAGTCGCATGGCAATGGC